AATCTCACATAAAAATGCAGTTATTTCATTGAAACTCTGACCAAACAAGTCTTTCCCAGTTTGGCATTGAAAATTCAGAAATTTACAGATATTAGCTGACAAATATTTTTCACCGAAAATAAGCTCCTGTTTTATTCAGCTAAAAATTGGATTAAAATATATGCCAAATCAACAATTTATTTTAACCACAAATTTTATGGAACTCACAACTTTTCAACAATAGATTCAATCGTCTTTTTATCAAAATCTACTAAAAATCTAATTTTCATCTCAACCAAACAAGGGTAAATAACAAACTTACATGCTGTTTGGGAAGCAAGTAAAACTGGATCTTCGTGACGAGGAGACTGTCGTGTTGCTGTAGACTGAATACAGCCCATTTACTGAAGAAAGATGCTCCCCAGTCAATTAGTGCGTAGCACCTGTATTTCACCACGATATTTCATCAAGACTACCATAACCTTGCAAATGACATGCAAATCCAAAAATCAAATCTTCCAATCAATTAGTAAACTAACTACAAACGAAAGTAATATTTCACACAAAGTGCCTACCTTACTTCTTTTGGATCTTTGATATGACTAGTTGAAATGTGAAAAACAGATGTAGAAAATTATAATTTGGTGAACGTCTCCCTTGATTATGAGAAAAGGTTTAATAAGTATTTTCCACACTAGAAGCCACCCAAAAAGAAGTGTCAGTTTCTGATAACTTAAGAAACATATGATTCCCGATGAAATCATATTAATATGTTTTGATTTTTCACCTTATAAATCCAACCCATGTATTGAAACAAAAATAGATTGATCAATGATGGAATCCAAGATACATGTATTGAAAACTAACAGATTGGACATATCACCTAAAGAAAGATATAATATAGATAATTTGCAAAGAAAAGAGAAAAACAATTACTTGTCCAAGAGAAAACCTTGTTATAAGCCATCACAATTTTGAATTTTGAAAACCCAAATAAATTAGTCGTTTTAAAATCATGAACTTTCATTCTACAACGACACAAGACAAAGCATGACCACCAATTTTCCCATAGCAACAAATCCCACAAATTAAAAATAATCGTAATATAACTTACCAACAAAAAGAAACGCAACAATACTGAAATCTGGCTTTATATAGAGAAGCAAAGGTTTACAGAGTTCTTCAAGAATGAAACGGGATATATGCTCAGATTCGATCTACAGATGAGAGAGAGGAGCAAAATTAGAAAAGCAGAAATAAAACGGAGGGCGAAGGGAGCGACAAATAGGAAAGGCCGAAGGCGGAAACAACTACGATTTCACAGGGTGCAATGTTACTGTAGGGTAATGGGAATATCATCCATCTACTTTCAAAGCAGTAAATCGAGAAATTAATGTTGGAGGTAGGTGGCTGGGAATTGGGTTCATTTATAAGTTCGTAGACCTGCAGCGGCGACCTTCAACGTATATCCGTAATAAATTTAATTTCTTGTATAGCCCATGCGATATAGCTGTTATAAAAAGAAACTGTCGAGAAAAACATGATAATTTAAATATTGAATTTTTTAAGTCTCTGTTTGGCATTCATTATTTTAAAACTCTCTTTTTTACGTACTAATTTTCAATTATACATTTACATAATAAAATAGAATAATGCTACTCAATAAAATATTATGCACATAGAACGACTGCTGCAGTGAGCGATTGCAAGTAGCATTACTCAATAAAATATTATACACATAATCCAAATTTTTTCTTTATTAACTACGCATTCTCCAAAAATCGCATTTAAAACTTCATTTTACCTAAATAATGGTTTTCAAACATGGGGATAAAGAATGTGTGGTTAAAAAATGAGGAAATTTTTTGAATTTATATGTAAAATATTTTATTGTGTGAATGTGTGATTCGAAATGAATATGAAAAATAAAAAATTTAGAAAGAGTTAAGCAGCGACTTAGCATAACTTTTTAGAATGAATTTTACGAAAATAAATTTGAAGAAAAAAAATAATTTGGTGCAATGGGACCATCCCTGTCGTTCAAGAATTTTCAAACTAGCCATGTGAATTCTCGGAGACCAAAGCCAATAGGAGGAATCAAGAGGTATATTCTTACTTAGTCCTGTTTGACAACTATTTTTACAAAATTCTTTTTTTTTTTTTTCCACAAATTCATTTTCAATTATACGTTCTCACAATAAAATATTTTTCGAAAAAAATTGAATATACAATATTTTTACACATTAAGTCTGACAGCCGTCTCACATGGGTGTGGGACCCGCGATTGTAGGTCACATCCCCATATGAGAGGACTGTCAAAATGTATATGTAAAAAGACTGTAAGTGTAGCATTTCTTTTATTTGTCTACATAAACTCAAAATCTTTTTAACATCATATTCTTTTTTTTCTCAAATTCATTTTCAATCATATTTTTTAACCACACATTCTTCAAAAAATAATTATTTCATGACTCATTTTTCCCAAAAATCTCTTCTCGATCAGTAGAAGAAATAAAAGTTCTAACTAGGCAACATATCTTTGAATTTTGTAGCATGGTGAATCTTGTGGTAAGTGTGTCCTCAATGTACCAATTTTGTTATTTAACCGATTAAATGGAAAAACTAAATAAAAGGGTGGAAAAGAGAAATTATAATAAAATGTCACGAGATTAATTTTTTTTGTTTTCATATTTTTATTGAGATAGAGATGTTGTTTTTGGAATATGGATTTCTCCTTAAAATAATATGAATATACTTACTATTTTGGATTAACAAGACGAAATTTGAACGGAATAACATGATGATCAACANTTCTCCTTTAAATAATCTGAATATACTTACTATTTTGGATTATCAAGACGAAATTTGAACGGAATAACATGATGATCAACATGATCAAACAGAAAATAAACGACCAACGTGATTGAAATCAGGATAAGAAATTAATTTGAGCCCACTGATTTAATGACGTATCCTCGAAACAAATTTATTACTCTTTCATTATAAAACAAATTTCGTCTTTTAAGGAAGCATCGCAATAATCAGTAAGAGTTTCAACGAAATCAACATTATTTTTTTGTACTTGAAAAGTCAGAATTATAATTTAGATAGAGAAATGAGATTCAAAGTAGAAATTTTTGCATTTGAAAGTGGTTTAATTTTTTTTTATAGAAATGCATGCTATTATAGATTTATTTGTGATCATTCGAATATCTTACAAGTCTCTTCATAATGTTGATAATAGTATAGACATTTTTTCAAACAAACAAGGGTGTTTGTCCAGGCCAAAAAATAAGCGTATGTTATAGTTGATTGTAGACATTGGTTATAGCCGATCGCAGACGTCTCTTATGATTTTTTATTTTTTGTGGAAATATCCAATGGTTGGAATTTAAAAGACCATTGAAAATAATTTCATTAAAATTTAAAAAATTTAATTAATAACAATTTGGTCCAAAAAATTTAAATAAAAATTTCTCCAAAAAATATATAAAAGACAAGGACCTGCACCAGTACCACAACTCGACCTGGGCTCATACTAGATGGCGAAAACCTGAGTAAGTGACTTTTGGATCGAACCAAATAGAAGGGAAATTATTGAAAATACCCAAAATTTGGCAATAGCCTTTCCAAAATACCCATTTTTACTATTCAACCAT